GAAAAAGGCCACGATTATTCTGCTAGGAAATGAAAATGTCTGACCTCTCCTTCCACACCCCCGGCCCCCTCACCGGTCTGGGATTAAATTGATGTAATATGATTAGGGGAGGGATAAATGAAGAAACCTGCTCAAGTTCATTAGAGGCAGACCAACGCCTAACGTGGACGGATCGGCGAGCGCCGCAGGAAATGAAAATGTCTGACCTCTCCTTCCACACCCCCGGCCCCCTCACCGGTCTGGGATTAAATTGATGTAATATGATTAGGGGAGGGATAAATGAAGAAACCTGCTCAAGTTCATTAGAGGCAGACCAACGCCTAACGTGGACGGATCGGCGAGCGCCGCAATTTCCAGGAGCAGCCCCTCTCCTGGCAGGGATCTGTCAGCTGAGAGGAGTGCAGGAGCCTCCCCACCCCCCCCAGTGACACACAGATGGATCACATCCCCCTCCCCACCCCCTGGGTGTTTCTGCTCTTGCCTGCTCAGGGGTCCCTGAAATGTGCCAGGCTGGGTTCTCTCCCATCTTCAGACCTTGCAGGGAGATGTGAGACTGTGTGGAGACATCCTGACTCAAGTCCTTCCATTGTCCCAGACTCTCCTTTTGCCTTGTTTGAAGGGAGGAGATTGATATGCCTTCAAACCCCACAGGTGAAGAAGCCACGGCAGCTGCAAGGCCTCCCAAATTCCCTCACATCTGGCCACCCACCAGAACAATGGCCACAAAGACCAGGAACTGCAGCAAATTGAAGCATGGGCTTCCCCAGCTTCCTCCTGCAGGCAGCCCTGGCAGTTACTGAACGCAGAGCACGGCTGGGAACATCTCACACCCCACACAGAGCAAGAACAAGAGCTCATTGTGAGCATCTCCCAGGACACGGGTGCTCTCCCCAGCCTCCCTCTTCCCCCTTCCCACTGCAGTCACACCACGGCCTGGAGGGGACTTCACCCTAGGGTACAGCACCAACCCAGGGCTCTGCTGCCTCCACCCAGCACTGAGGACCCACCGTGGGGCTGAGCACAGTCCTGCAGATGGAACCTGCCTCTCAGGGCCTCCAGAACACAGCCCACGATGGACACTGCAGTGCTGAGGGATGCTCTGCGACCACATCCTGCACCTGTGGGACTCACACAAGGAGCAGGGAGAGCCCTTGGATACTACCTGGGCCTTACTCCTCATCTGCACTCTCTTCAGAATATGTGTCAGCCCCTTAAAGCTGCTGAAGAACCTCATGGGTGTATGTCACAAGCACCTGCCCAGGCAGGGGGGCAAAAGCCAAGCCCAACAAGTAAACTGCAAACCTTTATATTCAGCAGATTTCTGAGCACCAGAAACAAGAGGCTGCACACATCAGGTGCCAGAGAGCTGCCACAGAGCTTGTACCTTCAGTAACATTTGTCACAGACACACCTTGTTAGGATCCCAGTCTATGTCCACCCACCAAGAACCTCCCAAGTGTACACAGAGTCAGCTCCTGGGGGGCAAAGGAAGAGCCCCTGGGTCTCCCTGACATGACCACTGTGTTTTCAGAGGCCACTGGGACTCTCTGAGGCATTGACTCGTGGGACAGGAAGGACAACCCTAGAGCTCAAGGATGGATCTCAGAAAATGGTTTTGATGTCACACTGGCCTCTCACTTTTGCTCTCTTCCTATTCTTTGCCAAGTCACCTACAAAAATCCACTGACTTCAGCCTCAGGCTATCAAACAAGAGTTTTCCAACCTTTTCTTCCTTCTGTGTCACAGATGCCTGTGAAGGAGACAGTGCTCACTGGCTCTGCAATAAGTGCCAAGATTTATCCTCACACCTTACAACGTGCCCATCAGATTAGGACTTTATCCACAGATTCAATCTCCAAACAAGAAAACTCTCCATCCCTGCAAGCTGCCCTACTGCATGAATGACAATGCATTCAGGAAACCTGTGAGATCCTGTACACTTCAAATGACAAAAAGAACATCCAAGTTTTTCCTCAAACTATCTGGTGAACTTCTCAGGCAGGTTCCACAATTTACTGTGGCCCTCTCGTGGCCACAGCCAGAGAGTGACATCACTCCATTTTCTCTAGAGGGTCTCGACTTTCTGGGCTTGTCAAGAATACTTGCAGTGTCAGCCACTGCAAAATAAAGAAGCACTTGCAAAGGGAGGGCAACTGTTCTTCCATCAAAGATCCTTCCTCTGGTAGGCAGCCCCTATGGCAGCTATTGTTTGCAATGGCACACACAGCAAAGACCCAGCATGAACACCATTCTAACTGCTCCTCTATAGGTACAGAAACAAAACATGGGATTTCTGCACCTCCACTCAGGGTGCAAGAAACCAGCAAACACTTTCATGCTCTCCAAGGTGAGACTACAGCTCAGAACCTGCCCAGGTTATAAGCACAAGAAGGGGAACTTGCTTTTGAGGAAATAAAGTATGAACCACAGCTGCTACTTTGAAGCCTTTGAAAGCAGGGTCTGAGTTCAGCCAAACACCCCCTGGTTCTTGGGCTGTCACGTGGAGGTCAGACAAAAGAAAGGTGCTGAGGGGAGGGGAGAGTATGGGTCACATAGAGGAAAACACTAAGGCAGGACTAAGGCTTTAAAAAGAGCTGGATTGTCAAAGCAGGGAAGAAAGATAAAAGCCTCCCAGCCACTTTCTGCCTGTCACTTTAAAAAGCCTCAAAAAGGCATCAATGTTCTGTGCTCTCCCTAAGAGTGCCTCTTCTGAACCACACAGCCAGCCTGCACCCTGCTTAGGGCAAGGCTGCACTGACCCACCCCGTGGAGAACTCTGGGCAAGGAGAAGGGATCTCCAGCCCCTGCCCCATACCTTTTACAGAGAATCCAGCATTCTCCTCATCAGAGTCACTGTCCAGATCAAAGAGGTCCTTGAATTCCTTCTTATCTTCCTCCTTTCTCTCATCTTGCTTCTTACGTTTAATTTCTGGGAAGTTCAAGTCTTCAAGCTGGAAAAAAAAAAACAAAACCACCAGTAAGAACAACCTTAATTTGTACTTTTAAACACAAACCAGAGCTTAAAGACAGGAATTTGGCTTTGGCCAGTATGTGCAAGCCACAGTGCCAGGACCAGCTGGGTCTGCTGGTGCCAACTAGGGGACTACAGACAGATCCATGAGCCAGCCAGAGGTGAAGGATGCACACAGGGCACCCACTGCTCTGCTCATCTTCCCCTAACGAAGTAATTCTGCTAATGGGCCATCCACTGCTGGTACCTGAGTGTGGGTGAGACCAGAGACACCCCTGACAAGCTGTCTGTCCTAGAGCTTGGGCTGGGAGCCACGCAGGCCCTGTGAGTGCTACAGAGCCAGACCATGCTGGGCATCCCTCCAGCAGGACTGTCCACCAACACCAAAAGCTGTGAGAGCCACAGCAAAGGCTCTGTCCTTTTGGCTGTGATTTCATCACAGTTAAAAGGCAAGGTGCTGAAGATGCTTAAGGCCTGTCTCCACCACGGTGTCCCCAGTTGCCAGCCCTCCTGGAGATCAATGGGCCAAGAGCCTTGCTGCTGCAGCCAGCCAATATCAATGCCATTAAGCACTTGCAATTGACACCACCTCACTGCTCTTTACACCTCTCCGGAGAGGGATTAGGGGGAGGATTTACTCGCCAGGGCTCAGGCCAGCAGGGCAAAGATAATCAGAATGCAAATGAAATCCCAAGTGCTCTCTGAGCATCAGCTGCCTGGCTGCACACCTCCTGGGAGGCACTCGAGCATTAGCACACATTAGCTTGCTTGGAAACATTGGCCCTGCCAGTGATAACTCATTTGCTCTCCCCCCACCCATCAGAGCACCCCTCACCACCCTCCTCTCTGACCACATCCACTCCAACCCTCCCCTGAGCTTCCCCAGCAGCAGCAGAGCAGGGTCTGTGGGGAGGCAGCTCCCAGCAGAGAGGGGGAAGAGCCAAGGGGAGATGCACATTCTGCTCCTGCAGCCAGTTCCAGCCATTCCTCCCAGCCTGTTTCATGGTTATGGTCCCCAGCTGGGCAATATTGATCCTGGGAGCTGAGCACTTACAAGCAATAAGCTGCAGCATCAGGGTGGAGAGTCAGAAGCTGGCTGGAGAAGGGGAGAGGGAGCAAATCACCCATTACCATTTGCAGGGTCCTCATTTTAAATCATCCTCCCTTCCCAGCTGCTCTTTTCCACTAGGAGATGTTTCTCCTTCCCCAGGCCCTGCTGGGCTGTCTCTGTGCTGGGAAGATGGGTGAAGAAAGCAGCTCATGACTGGCTTTCCAAATGCCAGAGAAGAGACTTGGGAAGCAAAATGCAGCAAGAGCAGCAATCCAGAGTGGCTGCCAAATGGGTGCCCTCAGCTGACCTCACGAGATACCATCACCACCCTCCTTCCTAGCAAGCTCCACCATGGGGCAGGGGAGCTGCTAGGGTGAAAACCTTCCCTTAGCCCCTAAGAACTCTCAAGGTTGAGACAGGCTCATGCTTTGCTCCTCTCATTTGTTCATTTGTTCTCATTTGCAGCTAAACAGGAGCCCAGTGCTGCCTAACCAGGAAAGAGTTGAGGTGGGAAGTGTCACAGACAGAAGAAGAAACCCAGTTTTGACAACAAACATCTGCTGCATCAACTGCCTGAGACCCTTTTGGCTGCTCCTGTCCTCCATGACCTCAGTCACTGTTACTCCCCAGCAGCAGTAAATGAAACACAAAAAATCCCCAATTCTCCCTCCTCTCATGTCCTGAGCAGGGGATGTTTCCAGGGAATACATCACTTAGTAGGTTTAAAGTGGAAATGGAGCTGTGCAGGAGTGAAATGTCTCAGGTATGTGGTGTGGAACAGTCTTCTCCCACTCAAGGGAGAAAAAGAGGGAGAGACTTATTTCAACACTGAAAAATCTCTCCAGTGTCCTGAGCAGGGCACATACAGCAGGGAGCAGAGGCTGTTACACTTGGGACTTCTTTGTATGTTCACCCCGCCCAGGAAAAGTCCATTTCCAAAGGCAGCCTGTAGTTTTGGCTGACATCAGTACTGGTTGAACTCAACCTGAGCATACTACAAAGGAGCTGGTGTTGCACTGTGCCAAGCTGTACCTCCAACTTTCTGAGACTCCACAGGAGTGCCTGCAAGACAGGCACCTCAAAATAAAGGCACCAGAAAAGCCTGTGAGCCATGGAGCAATCACAAAGCAAAGGAATGAGACTTGTACCGAGCCACAGCTCACAGATACAGCCTGTGTTCATCACAGGAGCAGTAATTAGGTAATTTGGGGGCCAGTCTTCTAATCCCCAGCTAGAGGGTTACTATCTGCTGAGTCCCACGAAGCTGATTAGTCTACATCCCATTAAAAACCATTGGGAAGAGCCAATGGAACGGGCAGCTGGGGTCAGCATTGCTCTAGGAGGCAAGCTGCAGCTCACAGCAGCTCAGAGCCAGCCTGGGTTTTTTTTTTTCCCTGTTATTATTTCCCCCTCCCCTAACAGCTGCTAATGGGACATGGATTTTCCCAGCCCTAATGGGCCTCATGGTGTTCCCCCTCCTGCTGGGGCTGACAATGCTGCATCATTAAGCCAGAGGTCCCCACAGAGAGACACAACGGCCCCATTCACCCAGCAGAGAGGCTGGGCAGCCACGGGCCTGCTGCAGAGCACACCCCAAAGCCTCTCCCTCCCCAGTTTCTCTTTCAGCCCACTTTCTCCAGAGAAAACAAGCCCCTGTCACTGCCCTTCACACCTCCCCTGGTTTCAGGAGTCACACTCTCAGGCCTTGCTATCCAAACCTGGGTCCCCTCGAGGACTGCTCTCCACCTCAGCTGGTCCTGGCCACCCCAAGGAGCTCCTGTTCCCCTCGACCTTTAACAGGATGGATGTTGGACTAGGTGTCCTTCAGAGGTCACTTCCAACCCAATACATTCTGATTCTTTCTATGAGGGGCTCATCTACACCGAGGGCTGATCTCCCCTCCCCTTGTGATAGCTGCCTCAGTACTGGGAACACATCAGCTAACAACAGCAAGGCCAGTTTGGGGCAAGAGACTGGCCCTGCTCACAGCCATCCCTTCTTGCTGTTTCTGAGCTCCCTCTCCTGATTTCCTTTCTGTGAAGGCCATGCTCTCCTGCTGGGTTTGCATGGAAAACAAGTGTGCTTGTTGTTCCCTCTGCACGGCTGCCCCAGGGGATTTCAGCCTCCTGTCCTGACCTGGGGCTGGCAAAGGACACTGAGCAGCATTTCTAGGATCTCACAGGTCTTCTGCCATGCCCTGGGACTTGTCTCAGAGCCAATCATCCTCTCATCCCATTGATTATTTTAATTATTCCTGACCATGTGCTGGAGACACAGATGAGATCCATTTCCTGCTCCCTGGCCAGGAGCTGAGCTCAGCCTCTGCCAGCACACCAGCATCGAGGCAGCTCCTCCTTCAGACTCCTGAGGGAAGCCAGCTCCCACCCCGGGCTGCAGGGCTGTGAGGGGGGGCCAAGGAGACTTCCCACAGCACAGATCACACCCAGGACTTTGGGTGGTTCTCTTACCCTTTCCTTGCCACTGATTTCCAGTTGTATCTCCTTCTCTCTGAGCTTCTTCCACTGGGCGTAGTACTTGGTGAGAGGTGTCCCCTCCTCTTTGACCTGCTTCTCCCACTGTTCCTGTGGAGAGAGGGGGTGCAAAATTAAGAAAGGTTTTCAAAGCTGTTTTCCAATAGAGCTTTGGCAAACACAGGGAGTCACGAGCAGAGGCTAAGACCCTTTTCCAAACCACCTTCTCCCAGCTCCTGGGTAGGAAACTGGCGACCAAGAACACAAGCAAGACTAAGGGTGAATTCAGGGACAGCCATTTAAGGACCTACTGAGTCTGGGCTGGTGTGACTGACAGTTCTCCTTAGGTGAAGCAACTCCTGGGCACCACAGGGAAAGGAAAGCAAGCCACAAGATGGAATGTGAATGGACAGGCTGGCCAACAGCTCACTTATGCAGTACCAAGGTACAGGGTGCCAACAGTGGTGCATAAGATGCTTTAGCATATGGAAGACCACCACATTTTCTCAACATGGTAGCCTGAAATATGGATTCCCAGATTCCTATTTGTCCTTTCTAGAAGAGGTTCTCCTAAAATCAGCTCAGTGCCTCCTGGGATCCACTGTTACTATCTTGGCCTTGAACATTCACTTCTACTCTAGCTCTAGTGAGAAGACACTGACACACAACTCAAGTCAGATGATGCAGCCTACTGTAATGAAAAACAAATTACTTCAACTGAAATGTGAAGGCAGGAATCAAAGGGACAGATCAGAGGATCTATCAACACAAAATCTGTCCCCTGCTCCTTCAACACAGGCATTTGATCACCTGCTCAGTTCTTGCTTTTTAATCCAGACAAACCTCATGCAATCATTTACCAGCCTGAAGTACCAAAGATATCTGACTGCCTGCTGCCCCTGCTCTGCAGCCAAGTGGTTATTTTTGAAACAAACATTCCCCTGCAGGGTCTTGGACTCAGCCCAGCATTGGGAGAACAGAGCATGAAGAAGTGCTGAGCCTGTTTCCACTGTCCAAGTAGGCAGAAAAAGGTGAAAACACCGTAAATGGTGGGAAGCAAAATTAGAGGGTTAAAAATTCTTTTACACTTCAATCATTTGGGATCTTGGTGCTTAAAGGGGCTGGGGTGAGGGTACATAATGTTAAAATACATTCTTCTTATCCTGCCAACATCCCTTCAACATAAAACCCACACAGAACCATACCTGTTAACTGGATTACACAGTGCCCAGAGGTTTTGCATTACCCCACAGTAAAAAGTCAATCTAATGCAGGCAGAAGGACAGGACATACAAACAGGAATTGAAACAGGCAAAGGAGGAAGGGAATGAGCAACAGGAACAAAGGTGCACACAGATACACTGCTTCTGGGGAGCTGAGCCCCAAAATGAGGGAGCTCTGGTGTGCTGGCTGCAGTGGGAAGAAGAGACTCTTTGTCTAAAGACTGCTGTATGAAGAAGACAGAAAGAGCAGATTTCCACACTGGACAGCAGTGCAGAGCTCCCAGCTTACACCAGCTGGTGTGTATTGTGGAGTGAAACACTTCAGCCTACACCAGCCCTTGATTTGGCCCATCACTGGGAGGGAAATGCTTCAATCCTCCACAGGGGTCCTGGGATGTGAGGAGGAATCCATCCAGGTTAAGTTAAACTTTGTACCACCACACTTCTCACAGCAGTAAGTTCCATCTCCAGACTGCTTCTCCTTTAAAATGATATTACACAGGCCCCTAGGTAAAGCCCAGCTCTCTAAAGCACACCCACTGCTGTGGAACTCTCCCCACGAAAGCCACATGGCTGCATTTTGTGTGGAAGAATTAGCTCAGAATTTGGGCTCTGCTCCCCAGAGTGGAGCAGCCACAAATGCATGCATGTGAAAACCAGTGAGCATTTGCTTCCAATTGCTCTCGTTGGCAAGGGGCACGTGCAAATTCCTCCCTTTCCCTCAGCCCCCTGCCTCCCCTCCCTCCTCTGGCACTGTGTGCTCATGAGAAGTGCCAGTGTCCCACATAGCTTGGAAACTCAACCCAGACTTCGAGGGACACTCCAAATAGTGCTGGGAAGCCCAGTCCCTGGGGGAGCTTTGGCCCTTTGGGGAACCTACAGCATCTGCTTGCAAAGGTGGAGGGGGAAATCACAGGGACCCCTGGGCACAAAAGGTAGATAACCCCCTGAGGCTCTTCTACCCCACACAAGTACTGAGTGGGCTGTTTCCTCTGCTCACAGAGCACTGATACCCCAAGGGGAAAGGCTCCCTTCTCCCACATGCCACCAGAGTGCACACATACAGACTGCACAGGCAGCTTACACTGTTGCTCTAACCCTTTAAATGTCAGCAGAGGCATCTCCAAACCAGCTTGGCAAACCGGTGCCTGTTTCCCTCACCCACCCTCCCTCCCTCAAGCCATGCTGCCCCTTGCTGACCCTCCAGAGCCAACCCACAGCCTCCAGTCCAGCTCACACTGCTCAGCCAGCCCGAGGGCCCTGGGGAAGCAGGTGCAGCAGTGGCAAGCAGGAGACAGGCAGGCAGCAAGGTGTTAAAATAATCCCTTCGCTCTTACACGAGGGACCGCAGCCAGAGCTGCTGGGAAGAGCAGACAGAGGCAGTGCTTGGAAACGGGTTTATTCAGCCAAGGAGCTTCCACAGCCTGTCTGTCTCACAGAGAGCCCCTGGGGCTGCAGTCTCTGCCCCTGCAGAGCGGGTGGGTGGTCACAGCACTGCCCCAGGGAACACAACCCAACCCCACCCACCCACTCCGCTCCAGCCGGGAGGCGGCGTTAGCTCCAGCCGGGAGGCGGCGTTCTGCTGGCACAGCTCTCCAGCCCAGAGTGGTGTGTCCAGAACCAAACGCTGCTGACCCACTGCAGCCCTGGTTCCACCAACCCCTTCATCCCAGAGCAGTGCTGCTGGGCCCTGCTGCTGATACAGCAGGATTTCAAAGGGGAATTTTCCTGCAGTCCTGCAGCGGCTGGAGCCAAATCTGTGCTGTGACTCCTGCTCCAGGCCCAGCTCTGTGGCAACAGGTTGAGCTTCCAGTGATGCAGAACTCTGGATTTTCCAGTGAGATTCTCCAGAGAGACCACTCTAACCCATCAATCACCTTGCAGACAGATATTTTCACCTTTCCCCTGCCAGGCAAGGAAAAGTCAGCCTCACTGCTTCCTCTCACACCTGCTATCAGGCCTGCTGGATCCAAAGCAAAAAGAAAAACTTCCTCTCACACCTGCTATCAGGCTTGCAAAGCCTGCTGGATCCAAAGCAAAAAGAAAATGTCCAACCCAAAGGGTACTCACACAAAGCTTCACTAACAATGTTCCTTCCCTTTGGCTTCATTTACATAGGGTCTGGATTTCTAATACCTCAATTTAGGTTTCTAGCTGTGCTACAGTTCATTTCCTTAGCTAAGAGGGGGAGGCTCCATCATCACCTTAGTCACTCCTCTTCAACTCATTATTAAAGTAGAATCCTGACAGTGAATTCAACTGCCCACAGGCCCTTTGAGCCACCCAGAGCCACTGCAGCTTTTCTAGCTTTCAGCATTTTCTCAGCAGGCTGGATGCTTACAGATTCTCCTGCAGACAGAAGAATAAACCAGCATCTCTCCTGAGAAGCAATCGCAGCACCCAGGATGCCTGATCACTGTTCTTTGGGCTCATAACTTTCCTGATTCTATAACTCTGTCTCTGCAAGGGCCCAGGAAAATGAGGAAAGCTTTGCCTCAGGATCCTGAACTGCCAAGTACCAGTTTGCTGCTGCTTGGTTTTACATTGCCAGAGCCTGGCCCCTAGGACTAGGATTAAACAACACACTTAGAGAGGCAGCAGCATCCTCCATCAAAGAAACTGGCACCTATGTGTCAGGAGTGGGATGATAAACCCAAGAAACTTCTCAGCAAAGGAGATGCCCCAGCAAAGCAAGGCATAGGTTATAAATAACAGAAGGGTGTAATTCATGGACTGTGTTTTCCACGAGGCTCATGGCTCCAGAGACCTGCCAGCTACGGCACCAGAACCCTGCCGAGCTCAGTGGTTTGTGCACATCTGCCCCACCCCACACGTTTCCATGATCTCCACGTCCCTCCTCCCTCTGCCACCAGCTCGACCCCAGCAGCTGGAGTCTGGCTGTCTTTGCAGGAAGCCCAGAGGAAGCAGCAGACTCACCACAGACTCCCTGCTGGCCACGCCGAAGGCAGCTCTCTGACGCCTGCTGGAGATGTAAGCAGAGTTTTCCTGCAGCTTCTCCAGGAGCTGCCTGATAGGCTTGCAGTAGTTGGCAATCTTGCATTCCTTCAGGAAAGATTTTAGCTGGGAGGAGGAAAAGGAGAGGAAGAATGAAAGCAATGTCACAGTTTCCATGGACAGATCCCATCAGCAAATAGACACTTCCCTCCCCTGGTGACAGACAGCACGGGGTGTCCTCTCCCTTCAGTTCATACCATAGTCCAACCTGTCACCCATGCTCAGCCCTGGGGGTCCTGCCACCCCAGGCTGGGAGGATGCAAAGAGTTGCAGTGACAGGCCAGATGTTTGTACACGATCCAGCACAGGGGCCTTGCTCACAAACAGCTCTCTGCACTCTCTAACACCACCTCTCTTGGAAAAAAAAAAGAGTATCAGTGGAGTTCAAGTAGCCAGCAGGCAACAAGTGTGTGCTCCCTGGGGCCTCAGCTCCTAGCTGCCAGTGTAGTTATGACTGTCTTCTGCTCTGCCAAACAGTAAGAGGGACTGTGGACCAGATGCACAGGAAAACAGTGGATACCTGTGGATGTCAGATGGTGAAAAGCACAGGGAAGCCAGGATTAGGATGGGGAAAGGTGTCTGTGGGCTAAGACTCCAGAACCCCAGTTGATACTGGAATGGGAATACCAAAACCAGGAGGCTGTGGGTGAGACTGATGGCTGGGATTGAAGGCAGAGTTTGAGAAGAGACTTAAAATTGGGGTGGCAGTGTCTACTGCTGCCTGAAAGGGCATGGACTATCCAACTCAGAGAGAATCTCCTCCTGCCCTTCCTCTGCACCCAAAGCACACCTCAGTGCTTCCAATGGGACTTCACTGCAATCAGAGCATGTTTTTGTGGTGTTTTCTTCTTCTCTCTTAGGAGCCTTGTCCTCAAGCAAACCTCTATCCTCTTCACCAAAGATTTCCCCTCCCAGTACAAACCAGGCTCCTCCACCACCACTGCACTGTTCTGATATCTTCAAACTAAAAGCTGAGGCAGCAGTGGACACTCTTGATGACAGAAAGAGAGATGTGGGTATCCAGATTGGCTCATGGCTTGAATTCCAGTTTACTACACTATCTGCTAACAGCCTTCATCAACTCCAAGACAAGTCTCTGGAGTGCTATCCAAATTCTGCAGGCCAAGTTCTTTGCTAGAGCTATACAGATACTACAGAGACACTTGATTTAGAGAAAGAGATCCAGCAAAGCAAAAGAAAATGGTTAACCACAATGGAACCTTCATCTCCACTGGGACCTGCAGAGGCTATCACAATAGAGGTGAAGAGTTTCTAGTCAGCAAATACAACACTGCCTTCCCTATGGCTTCAAATGTTCTGCCTCAAAACACAGAGCTGGGGGACAGAAGATGTCCCCCTCCTGTCTTACATGCCAAGTATTAAATGTTTCTCAGAGGTGAGAGTCAGACCTGGCCCCTCTGTGTCAGGACACTGCTCTCCTGATGGGAATACAGCTGCAGGATCTGCTGTCTGCTGCACACGTGGAGAATGTCCCCCTGTCACCCAGCAGCAGGGGCTTTTCTTCTCCCTTTACCCCCAGCACACACACCCAGCTCAGAAAAACAGGAGCTAAACCCAAAACCTTCCCCACAGAGCATCCAGCCCATCAAACAAGCCCGAGAAACCATCAGCAAAACCATTCTGCTGGCGAAGCCTGTCCTCCCCTCACCCTCCTCTCCTCTAAAGTATTTATTTTTTATAGGTGCTGCATATTTATCTCCACTGAGAGATGCATTTGTCATTCGATTTATCTCACTTGATCCCCCCAGCTGCAGCCCCAGATCCATTTCATCCTCTGCCACATACATTATCATTTTTCTTTCGTTGCAGAAGTGTCACCAGAAATCCTGCAAAATCTCAGGCTCTATCTGTGCAGTTGGGTGTCGTGTGTTCGCCCTCAGAGCTTCATTTCTTCCTCCCCCCTCCTCTCTCCTCCCCCTGCCATCCCTCACAGTCCCACCACTATCTGCCACAGATATTAACAGAGCGTAATGAGATCTCAGTGCTGTGTTAAGAGGCAGGGAACACAACCAAGAAGGCAAAAAAAGACTGAGGAAAGAGAAGAGAGACTCTGTGTGTGCCTTTTTCCACTCTGCCAAATACAACAACCATATCTTTCCAGAATAAAAGCCATCAGAAAGTACACGTGTGTGTCTACATGTCGTTGAGATCTCGCATCGGTTCCCAGCTAAGCAGCTCTGTGATTAGTGGGATTCATTCTGTCTGACTGCCAGCCTGACACACCAAGGGTTGACACCAGCAGAGACCACAGCAAAACCCCAGCTCCTCTTCCTGTAAACCACGCAGGGAGCTAGAAATGATCCAGAGCAGCTGGGCGTGTGTGCTGCAGGGAGCCCAAACCCTGCCCAAATCCCAGTCCAACTGGGGACAGAGAGCGAGCAGCAGCACAAGGGGCTGGTGGCAAGGGAAGCCAGCACCTCCTGCCCTCCTGTCCAGCTCCAAGTCATGCCTAGATCGTGCCATCTCCTGCCTCCCCCCAGCAGCACCCACCCCTTCCTGCTGCCTGCCCAGTTTTAACCTCCCAGCTCTGCTCTGGGATGTTGCCAGGACTCTAGAGCAGGGCAGAGTCTGTCTTTCCCAAGCACCCAGACACAGTGGCTCTGCACTCTGAGCTCCTCACCAGCCTGTGGAGGTGGCAACCACCATGGTGCCATCCCAGCTCTGGGCACAGAAGCCCTGGAGCTGTCTCCTGCCCTGCCTGGTTCTCCTTTCCTTTCCTCTGCCAGCATGCTTCCTGCCTTGCAGGCAAGGAGGTTTGAAAGTTCAGTCTGAAGGCAGTTCAGGGGAGCTTCTCCCAGAGCCTCTGACCAGGAGATGAGGAACTCAGCCCTTGCCAGCTGGAACACAGGCCACACGACACGGCGCTGAGCGAGGCGTGAGCTCATGGGGGAGGAAGGATCAGGACAGATGGATTTTTACAGTCAGCTGGAACCCCTCCAGGAGAAAAGCCTCCCCCTCCCACACACGCTCTTTCCCGAAGACGCTGAGATTTTGGGAAGCTAACCTCAGCCCCCCCAGCCCAGCAGACGCCACGAGGCTGTGGTGAGTGGCAGCTAAAGAGGAATCTGATAGGATTCATCCTCTGCAGCAACCCAGGCTGGTCCCGGGGTGTGTTTGGGAGCCACGGGGCACACGGTGCCCGAGGCCCGTGGGCTGTTTTTCATTCCAGCTACAGCCCGGGCTCTGACAGCTCCGACACTCCCGACAGCTGCTGGCTGAGAGCAGCAGGCTTTGTTCACTGCTGAGAAAGCAGAGCGAGCTCAGGAGCTGCTCTCCTAGCCCTGGGAGAGCCTGTCAGCTCACATTAGCCCGAGCAGCCCGTGCCAGGCTGTGGGGAGCCAGCCAAGAGCTGTGTGCCCGGCAGATGCCAGCCTGCTACACGTGGCACAAACGAGGAGATTGGCCTCCCAGGCAGCACTGATGTCACTCCCACCTCAAGCAGAGGTGTGCAGGCAGGGGGTCCCCAGGCAGACAGCAGAGCAGAGGTTCACATCACCATGGAGGATACAACAGCAGTCCTCTGCCAGACTGACATCTGCTGCTTGTGAATTAAAAACAGAAGAGCAAGACGAGAAGGAAGGAGGGAACAAGTTCCAACAGGTTTGCACTGAGCATCTTATTGTTCCAAGCAGAAAGGTCACTGCTCATTCAAAACTGGAGCCACCCAGCTAGCAAGGTATTAGGGAAGGGTTCTTGAATACTGGGGTCAGTTTTGGGCTCCTCACTGAGGAGCTGGAGCCATCCAAAGAAGGACAGTTAAGCTGAGGAAGGGTCTAGAGCCCAAGTGTGGGGAGGAGCAGCTGAGGGAGCTGGGGGGGCTGAGCCTGGAGCAAAGGAGGCTCAGGGGAGACCTTCTGGCTCTGCACAGCTCCTGACAGGAGCCTGGAGCCAGGGGGGGGTCGGGCTCTGCTCCCAACGAACAAGTGACAGGACAAGAAGAAATGGCCTCAAGCTGCACCAGGGGAGGTTTTGATTGGATAGTACAAAATATTTCTTCCCCAAAATTGTTACCAAGGCCTGTCCCAGGCTGCCCAGGGCAGTGGTGGAGTCCCCATCCCTGAAGGGGTTTCTAAGCTGTGGAGATGTGGTGTTGAGGGCCATGGGGCAGTGGTGACCTGGCAGTGCTGGGTTAAGAGTTGGACTTGATGATCTTAAAGGTCTTTTCCAGCCAAAGTGATTCTGTGACTCTGCACAATGCACTCAGAGGCACAGCACTATGAGGCAGTTTTACCATGGACAGTGAGGGATGTACACATGAAGTGGCTGAGAGGAACATCCTGCACCATGGAGGGCCAGGGCAGAGGTAAAGGAGGCTACTTTGCAGCACTGCTGTCAGGTGCAGCAAGGAGGAGGGATGGAGACAAGAACTGTACTGTTCTGTACAGAGGGGCCTGGGGAGAAAGTGCCCCCAGCTGATGGAGACACTGTGAAAGGAGGGAAGATTGCCACCTTGTGGAAAGCACTCGAGGGAGGCCCTAAGGCAAGGAAAGGTCTGGGCTCAGAGCACAGGTACAGCTTGGAGACAATGCAGCACTTCCAACAGCTCTGGATCACCAAGAACTCAGGGTGTTCACTAGTCACAACCACATCTCTGCAGCAGCTACGAGTCCTCTGTCCCATTCTGGCACCTTCAGCCTCCTCACTCACCTTCAGCCTCCTCACCTGTTCTTCCCCAAGAATTCCCCAAAACACAAACAAAAACTAATTAAGAAAAGGTAAGTGGTTCTCCACTCACGTTGTCAGGACCATCCTGAGTTCATTGTTAGTTTAAATGACCCTGCCCTGCCCTGTGCAGGTTGATGGCAGGACTAAGCAGCACCTTACCCCTTACCTGAATGATCGTGGGGAGAACCAGCTCTGGGAATCCAATGCTGTAGGCTTGGCAATGGAGATACTCAAGCATCAGGTCATAGAGCTGTTCAATGAGTCCATCCTGGGTAGGGGAAGGAGAAATAAGAGATATCAGATAGGAACTAAACCCACCAGTGCCCAGGCTGGGAAATGAGCCTCCAGCCCCACAGGGCAGGAACACAAAGCATGCTGCTAGGGCAGCTCTGTTGTTACAGAGAAGCTGTGCACTGTTGGCTGCTGGGGTTCCACTTACTCTGAAGGCTTTCTCCTGCAGGTTGGCATTGGAGAGCTTCAAGATCACTGCAAAGTTGATAGGCTTAGCACTTATACGTCCTGGCCTCTTGTTGAAATCCACTTGTTGGAAAATCTACAAGGGAAAAAAACAGGTGTTGAGATGATCACACTGCAAAACACAACAGATACCAAACCACCCAACTCAGATCCTGTAGTTAGTGGAGGAGCTGAGAAGACAATCCAGGAATCCTGATTCCTGCTTGGCTGTTCTGACTGCTTCCCCACAGCTTTCTTAACTACCCTAGCAAGAGACAGCAACCACTCCTGAAGCTTCAGAGACCTGAGGTGAGATCTGCAACAGCAGGGCTAAATGTTGCTTACATCAAATCCATTTTATTGCCACTGAAATAATTGTCCCAGGAAGCAGGGAGACCACTTAGTCCTCTTCACAAACACCTCCTGCCAGGAAAGTTTTCCATTCTAACACACTTCCAACTGGTGTCCTTTGTACCAACTGTAACTGAGCAGCTTTGAGGCAGTCCCCATCATTCTCCATGGTCAGATTTCATTCAGCAAGGGACATGGGAGAAAAACTGGCCCCTCTCCAGAGTTTGAGAGGAGACCATGCCCCCTACTCATCAGAATGACAAGGATGCACAAGCTGTAGGGTGCAGCTGGATGCCCAGCAGACTAGCATATAACACCAAAAGGCAGACCTGCACCTTAATGATAATGGTCCCTACAGGTCTGGGCAGACATCAGACAACAGGGCTCACCTGCCCTGTATTCCAGAGTTTGAGAGAAGACCATGCACCCTACTCATCACAATAATGAGCATGCACAAGCTGTAGGGTGCAGCTGGAGGCCCAGCAGACTAGCATGTAACACCAAAAGGCAGACCTGCACCTTTGCTTTTGTGTTTTCCAGAGCTTGTTTAATGATAATGGTCCCTACAGGTCTGGGCAGACATCAGACAACAGGGCTCACCTGCCCTGTAAAAGCCTGTGCACTGTGCTGCTCTTCCTCCAAAGCTGTGACACAGGAAGGAGAAAAATGTTTTTAACATGAGCAGCAAAACCAATGTGCCCTTTCCCAGCCTGGAAGGTGCAGACCTAAGGAGAAAGAACTACAAACACTGCTTGATCCAGAGCAGGTTCCCAGGGACTGCCATCAGGGGGTGGAAAGCAGCAATGGGGGGAGGTGTTCACTAGCAATGGGATCTCATTTAAAAAAAAAACAAACCCCAACAGCCCAAACTGTGCATACCTGATGACAGCCATTGAGGGGGGCTGATGAGGGGCACATCCTGTCCACCCACACTTTCTGAGCCCCTCAAAAGTAGCTTACAGCTCCTCTCCCTGTCCCCAGACTTTTTAAATCACACTCCTGAGCAGGAAATAATTTCCATTCCCTCTCTGCAGCAGCCACACATCCATCATCAGACCCCAAGCAGCCCAGCAACGTGGGGATGCAGCACACTGAGTGCCAGAGGCTGAGGTGAGGAGGGAAGGGAGGGTGTGCAGGTCACATGGATGCCCCCAGGCCAGAAAAGCATGGAGACGACTATTGATTTTTTTACATTTTATTTGTCAGTCCAGGTTATTTGGAAGGGAGGGACAAGCTTGGTGGCTTGTGAAAACAAAGAGCCCCAGCCTAGGGAATCAATGCTATAAACCTCGTTATGCACGGTTATTTCTTTGGCCAAAAGAGTAGTATTGATCCCTGAGGTCAGACACATTAAAGTGAAAGGCATCAGGCTCTGTGGGATCCTCACATGCCACCAGGCAAGCAGGGAAATGCAACCAGAGGTTCTGAACCTCTCCCAGGAGGTGCTAGGGAGCTGGGAAGTGGGGGGGGGGGAAATGTCCTTCCCATCTCTGGACTGTGCAGAATGATCAGCTGACAGCCAGGCTGAAGGAGAGGGTGACTGATGTCTAGGAATCCTGTGGCAGGGTGGAAAAGTGATAATGAGGGACTAGAGGGCCAGAAAAATCTCAAAAGCCAGCAATTTGGTTTGAGCAATAACCACTCGCAGACAGAGAAAAGGATGAGGCAACAGAGGCAGGAAGGAGGAGGATTTTTGGCAGACTCCAGCTCCCAGAGGATTTCCACGTGGCTAGTGGGAAGGGTGCTCAGATAGCCAGGGTGCAAAGCAGAGAACCAACTCTGCACCCACAGCACCTCCCCACTGCCTCACCTCATCCACCCCCCTTCCTTTCTCTCAGGCTCTAGCAAAAGGCTCTGGACACCACAGAAAACTCTTGCTTTATTTTTAAAATGCTTAAGTGGGATTTCCTGTCTTTTATTTTCTGCATACTGCCTTTTGTCTTGTCATCACTCAGTGCCACGGAGAAAAATCTGGCCTCAGGCTCTTTATTCACAGAATGAATGCTGTTGAGGTTGAAAGAGAAGTCTGGAGGTCATCTTGTCCAACCTGCCCTGCTCAAGCAGGGCCACCTAGAGTCAGCTGCCCAGGACTATGTCCAGATTGCTCCTGTGCATCTCCAAGGATGGAGACTCCACAAGCTTCCTGGGCAACCTGTGCCAGTGCTTGATGACTCTCAGCAGTTGTCAGTACACCTCACAGTCCATTTATCTAGTCTGCAGTTCCATCAGCTTCTCTGTGAGGAAGTTAAGGGAGATGGTATCCAAAGGGAAGATAAACAACATCCACTGAGCCAACCATCTCATCACAGAAGACTATCAGATTGGTCAGGCATGATTTCACTCATCCCCTGGTACCTGCAGGGCTGTGATCCAGAATTTAAGAGTTATAATATAGTGGAAGGAGGAGAATGAGGAAAAGGAAAGGTGTCTTCAGCTGGTGCAGCAATTCAGCTTAGTCTGTCTAAAGTTCCATCTTTTTCCCCCCTCTGTGTAAAGTGGGCAAAGAGCCCATGTCTTGTAGAAAATAAATTTCAGATCTGTGCTCAAATGCATGGCAGTGTCCAGCATTATCAATTCTCCAGCTACAACCCTCCCCTCAGCTGATTTCCTGACACAATCCATTGCCCACTCCCATACATGTTGCCCTCCAAGCCCCTGGGGGCTTTCTCTGAAGCAAGCTGCACACCCAAAACAAGGCTCAAGTCATTTAAGTGTCAAAGTGAGAAGCTTGTGCACATCAGAGTGAACCTCCTCTGCTGACCCTCTGCAGGGGAAGCCCATTTTAAATTGGCATGCAAAGCCTGCCAGTGGGGAGATTTCCACCTTGTTTATCCACACCTGCCTTCCAGCAGATGAGCCACCAATTTTCCTGCTGTAGAAACTAGCACCTGCCACACAATAATTGAAGTGAGCAAACAAAACCCAAAAGCCTGGGATCTCACAAGCCTTTCAAGGGGAGTAACAACACACAAATAAAAGCCTGCCTGCTTTACACTCTCTCCTGAGCCACCTCCTCCTACCTAAGATGTCATTTTAGCAACTCTGCTTCTTTTGCTCCATGCTGGAAAGCAGAGTCAGAGAGGAGACAGCTCTGGATGCCCACGCTGGGGAGCATCAGCCCTTGTCAAGATGCATCAAGCAGTCAGCTCTCATTTCTGCTGGCAGGGGCTTGGGGAATTCCTGTGCCTACAGGAATAGCACTTTCAATCTGCTGTCTCTTGAAAGCACAGCAGCAACTGGGCTTGAGACAAGAAGCACCAAGGGTTGGGTTTCCTTGATGAAGAGGGGGCAGGGAAATGGTCACACAGTTATTTCTTCCACAAGAAGCTTTATAGAATCTGCACTCTAAGGCCATGCAAAGCCCTCTCCAAAAAGTGCATAAAACACAGGGTCACCAACTCCACAGCAGTTATTCTGCTGTACCTGCATTTGGTTGCAACAGAGGAGCATCAAATGGAGCACACCTTATGCTGAGAAGGCTTCATTGTGCTCCCCTGACCCAAATCATGCCCCTCAAGTCTACTCCTGTTTAGTACCAACACAATCAGTTGATGAAGTGGGGGCAGGGAAACAGTTACATGGTTACTTCTTCCCAAGCAGCTTTACAGAATCTGCACTCTAAGGCCATGCAAAGCCCTCTCCAAAAAGTGCATAAAACACAGGGTCACCAACTCCACAGCAGTTATTCTGCTGTACCTGCATTTGGTTGCAACAGAGGAGCATCAAATGGAGCACACCTTATGCTGAGAAGGCTTCATTGTGCTCCCCTGACCCAAATCATGCCCCTCAAGTCTACTCCTGTTTAGTACCAACACAATCAGATCCCTCAATCTCACAGTGATTTGGCTGTGGGCTTAAAATGGATTTTGTGACATGGTATGATATGGGACTAAAGTCTACTGACTAACTCACTGCTGAATTTGTGAGCTAGTAGGAACAGGCTCACAGGTAAAGAGTTATGGCTGGGCATCCAAATGCAGATTCTCCTCCTACCACATCATCCACACAGCTGGAGCACATCTCCTGCCTGAAGTCAGCTTGTGGAGACACACCAGGGGTAGTAAGAATGTTCACATACCTCTGTAAGAGAGGAGAAGGGAGTTGGGAAAAGATGGAAGTACAAAGGGAACAGCCCTGAATGCTCTTGGGAACTCCACAGAATATCTGAGGGATGGTTTGCAGGAGACTGGCAGGAAGAAGGGAAAGGCTGACAGGGAGACTGGGAGTTATGTCAGCTACCTTGGGTTACAGAATTTAAACCAAAATGATTGTTAATGTGAGAGTATGCAAGGAATGCCCATGCAGACATTGACCCTGCCCCCACCTCTCCCTTGGCACCAACACCTGCCCAAGCAAAGCCAAGTGGTGCCTCACAAACACACCCAGAGGCTCGGATGTGGCTGGGGGCTCCTGGAAGCTGGGAGGAAGCTCAGCATGCAGTGTGGTAACATCTGGCTGGGGCTCAGCACAGCCCAGAGCTGAGGTGTTGGGGCCAGGATGCAAAGGGGGGAGTGGAAAGGCCCCGAGGAGGAAAAGGCTTTATCCCTCAGAGCACTACAAAGCAGAGAAAGCACCCTCACCCCAAGCTCCTCTAGCCCAGAGTGGAGATGCCTCCATCACTCAGTCTGGCTGGCAGAATTTCAAATATGCATGAGCAGGGGGAAGGAAGCAGGGGAATGGCAAAGCCACAGAGGCCAGGAAGTGGCAGGAGAGCAGGGGGAGGTTTATAAACACCACTGCCTTCCACACACCCAGAGGATGTGGTCTGCAGAGGACGTTTATAACAACACAAAACCACAAAAGCCTTTGCTTCAACAGAACTTGATTAGGAATGAGCCTGGCTGACTCAGGTCATTTATTATAGAAGTTTCCTTCCCTCCTCCTCTTCAGAGTCCAGCCTCGTGCCAACCTGCTGGGGTTTCTGCATTCCTCACCCTGCCTTGCTCACACTTCTTCAGTGAAATTTGGCTGCACCACTTTGGTACTACCAGGAAAAAAACGTGGGAAAGCTGGATGGTCTCTCAGCACCAGTGCTTCAAACATACTGCATTTTGCCAGGTTGCATTCACAGAGATTTTTTTCCTAAATAAATTCTAGAATGGCTTTTTTTCCTTCTAATTCCTTTTGTTTGCAGTTAGGAGAAACTCTCCCTTTTGCTCAGATGCAAACAAATCAACAGGATAAAGTAACAACAGCTTGGGGAGTTACTGCAACCATCTGAGCCACTGAAACTCTCCTCTGGCAAGTTCTTTGCCTACTCCAGCTGCATTAGTTAAACCATCCAGGAATGTATTTTTGCACCCAGCTGATCTCAGATACTCTCCTCTCACAGGCCAATAAAAGTTTAATCCTATTTGCTAAGCAAACAATGCATTCTGCCTGATGCTGTTTGCCAGGGATTTTAGGGAGTAAACAAACTGGGCCATCTTGGGAGCTGTTGGTGGGTTCAGGAAATGAGTGGGTGTGTTTGGTAGCAGGCACTAGCTGTTGCTGGGTCAGCAG